ATGTTTTTGTCTCAAACTGCGAGCGACGTGAACACCACGTCGATAAGCATTTATCGCAAAAATGAAAATAACATGGTGCACACGTCGCCTAACAACGAGATTGTTTATTTCTCGAGTTACAGCTCTGGATTGCACTCGCAGATGCGGAGCGGCGTAAATGAGACACTTTACCACTTGCTATATTGTAGCGCAAGTAGTTAAACTCTAAATTAAAAGAAAATATTTTTTGGTGCAAGTAAATTAATTCATAGGTTAGTAATTTTCAGGGGGGGGGGGAAACTACGAAAATCCGTTTTTAAAATTATTGCGAAAAATCCAAGAAGAAACGTCCTTTGATAAAACGATTCTTCTTGGATTTTTCGCAATAATTTAAAAACGGATTTTCGTAGCTTTCTTTTTGTCAAAGAACGTTTCTTCTTAACACGTTTCTCAATTTCCGGTACACATCGCGGAGAGGGAAATTTTGGCCGCCAGGTTCCGTCGCCAAATCCCTTGGCAAATTTTCCCTCCGCATTCTAGCGGCGTAATAGCATTTTACTTGTATGGAAAATTTTCTTCTTTATATAGACCAAAGAATTAGAGATTCTTTGCATAGACGTTTTTTGGTTAAAATAATCTCCATGTATGGATTTGGCGACATGATGATGCGCAGTAAACGGGTCATTTTGGTCTTGGCGACAATTTTCAAAATCGTGCCAAAGCCTTACCGTATACTACAATTTTACCGCAAAATCTTTTTAAACTTTTCTTTTTAATAAATACCTTGCCATTTTGCAGTAAAATAAAAAATAGTAATCTGTCATCTAGGCTAACCATGTAATATAACTATATTCGCTAAAATATCGTTGATTATTCTAATTCAATTTTTAAGTAATTATCTTTATTTTATGTTATTCGTATAATTTAATGATGCTTCTTCCCTCTAAATTTATTAATTATTAGTAAATAATATTTCTAAATTTCAGGAAATTTTCTCTGGCATAATCTTGAAATTAATTCTAGCAGTATGATGACTTACCATCACGAAATTTAATGCACATATTTTTTTTTATGTATGCTGTGAACTAAATATAAAATATCTCAATTTATTAAAATAGATTTCTTTGTTTCGTTTAGCTGCAGAATGTCTGCAAAAAAAGCCTTATTTTATTCCAGATTGGGAAGATTCTAATCTCAATCTTCAATGGAGGAAACAAGAACTATTATAATTATATTTGTGTTTTCAAGTGTTAAGGTGCTTTTTAAGAACATACCTCACACAAATTAAATTTACCTAAAATCTAACCTAACTATTTAGCATTGCGTTGTGATTTATAAGGACCGGATTAGCCTCGTGTTGAACTGGTGATGATCATGAGTAATAATTAAATGAAACATACATTTGTTATCCAATGTATATATCTTAAATTTTATTAAGTTTCTTAAGTGGAAAAGTAAACAAAATTATCAAACAAAGTATACCAAAAATAATTAAGAATAAATGTCCTCTGGGATTTATTGAATAATTAAGTGAATTTGCTACACAATACAAGTAATACCATAATTTACCTCTTAGCGTAGCCAATGTACATTACGCGGATAGACTGGAATTTTCTTGAAACGCGCCTGGAAAACCTGGAAAAGTCAGGGAATTTCATTCTCCTGTTTGAGTGGCAACCCTGCTTCAAGATACAAAACATCAGAAGGTATGCAAAAATGCATCTGCCGTCATATTACTGACTAGTTCCAGATGAACACTTCTTGTAAGAGCACAGGTTATCAATAGAATATATTGTTTTTACTATCTTTCACAAATAACGGACCAGCATAATCAATTCCAATTACTGTAAATGGGGATGATTGTTATACTCAAGAGCTGGTAATGGAGCAACAATCTGGTCTCCTGGAGAAATGCTGAATTTTTGAAAATAACACATTTACCTAGAAGAGATTTTGTAACTTGTCTGGCCTTTAATATCCAGTATTTTTCTCTCACCTGCACCAGCATATGAGATACGCCAGAATGAAATACTTTATTATGGGATTCCCAAATCAGTAATTCATTGAGTTTAGATTTTGATGGTAGTATAATAGGGTGTTTTTCATCCATAGATAAATGAGTTTTCTCAAGTCTTCCTGTCACTCTCAGCTTTCCTGGCAATACATCTTCATAACCCAAAAATGGGTTTAAGCACGACAACTTGGAGTCTTTTGGTAAAGGCTTGCCATTCTTCAAACAATTAATTTCCTCAGAGAAAACATCCCTTTGAACACTTTTAACCCAAAACTGTTCAGCACGATTATATTCTTCATTAGTAAGAGGACCCATTGTACTAGTTTTCCTCCTAAGAACATCAACAAACCACCCCAGGAAGTCACCTTCAGTAATTAGCATAAGCAACTAAACTTATTAACATCAATTACCTGTTTGGAAACAATTGCAGAACTAATTATAGGAGAAGATTTATATTCAGCTTCATTCTCCTGGTCTATTGAGTCATATTCAAATCTCTTCGGCTAAGGCCAAGTATTCTATGGGTACAATAACCATTTTGGGCCCTGCCACCATTTTTTTAAAGTTAGCAAATCTTTACTAGTTAATCGTCTTGTTAACAAGTCCTCAGGATTTTCTTTACCTATACAGTGTCTCCATGCACTGGAATCTGTAGTTTCATGAATTTGTAATACTCTGTTTGAAACAAATTGCTTCCTCTTAGATGACGTACTGGATAAAAGGCACGATTCAACATTGTTCTGCAGCATAATTGTTAAATCACTCCATAAAATAACCTTTTCTAAATTTTTAAAAAGATTTTTACAATATTTGGCTAATCTTGCTCCAATTAGTGCACCCATTAATTCTAGTCAGGGCAACGTCACCTTTTTAATTGGCGCAACTCGAGATTTGGAAGCTATGAAGCTAGTTTTAAAAGTGTCATGCAATGTCTTATACCTAAAGTACGGAACCGCTCCAAAAGCTTTTAATGAAACGTCAGAGAATATATGGATCTGCAAATCTTCTTCCCTCTTCAGATTTGTGCCAGGAAAATAAATGTAGCAGATGAGCGTAATTTCCGGATGCAACTCCCATAGAATTTAAATTTCTTATACTAATTTCACTTTCTTCATACAATTTTCAAAGTGCGAGGAGATTTGAAGAAAACTGAAGTGGCTCAATTTCTAATAATTTATTCATGAAACAACTAATCAAGTGTTCTTGATTACCGTATCGCTCCTTTAACAAATCCAAACAGGATTTATAATTTTCGTCCCTGAGTGCGAATCCCGAAACAATTTTGTAAGCTTCACCCGAAAGAAAAGATTTTAAATATATGAAATTGTCAACATTACTTAATGACTCATTAGAGTCAATTGCACTTGAGAAACTATTAAAGAATTCTTGAAATAAACTAAAATTGCCATTAAAAGTGGGAATACGTAATTTAGGCAAATTTATAGAAGATGATGTATTGCGAATATTCGTATTACAAACGTTAACATTTTGAGAAGATTTAAAATGTTCACTTTCATACCTTTTTAATTTTGTGTTGATTTTGAATTTAATATTGTTTATAGATTCATTATACTCAAGTGAACTTTCGTTTCAAACATTTTACTATCTTGAATTTGGTCTTCGATTTTCAAGTTTAAAGCTAGAAGTTCATTCTGTTTTTCTACCAAACTTAACAAAAATTCCGACAAATTCGCCTGAACATTTTCAAATTTATTGATATCCTGACTATCAAATTAAGAGTCAATTATATTAATTAATTTTGCACAAGCACTTCTGATAGCTTTCCTCTTGGATTTCAACTTATCAAGAGTTTTCATTTTATACGCGAAATGAAAGTGAAAATAATAACAATTCAAGTGATAAATAAACTATGAAATTACAAAGTTACAGTACCTGCAATCCAAGTGTTCAAATTTTAGCCTAATGCAATCTGAAAGAAATAATCCAAAGAGCCTTCTCGGGTTTTCAGCACCATAAAAAAAATCACATGATCATCACTAAAAAATTAAACGAGATTCTTAAATGAAGACCATGTATAGCTTTTTAGCATGTTAGACTGATAATCAAAGCGTAATTAATCCTACATTAACAATAATGTGTAATTAATCCAAGAACAGGAAATAAAAAACTAACATAATAAGCAAGAAATATGTTACATCCAAATTCCAAAGTCTTTTATTTTCATAAAACATTAGACGCAAGGCCTCTTGGGAAAAGAATTCAGATAACGGTTAATCACGCTGTCTGATCACGTGATCATTTTATTTTTAAAAGAAATAATTACAGTTTTTCTGAATTAAAATGACTTTTGTCATTTGTGAAAAAAATAATGAATGTTATATTAAAAAAAAGTGTATATAACTTATAATCACAACAGGCAAGGCCCTATGCAAGGAAAGAGAGGTTCAGGTATGTGCACATATCATTCATAAAAATTTATTAAAATCTTATATAACATAAATCTATTTTTAAAACTTTTATACATTCATAAATCCCCTCCCCCCCAAAAAAAAAAATATGCAGCTTTGTATCCCTAGCCGAAGCAGAATCCTGCGCACGGCCCAGCACAGCATATAAAACTCAACTGCTTTATAAAATGAAATAAGGTCAGAATGGACATTGATCATATTAGGTGGTACCCACTGTATTTCTGAAATATGCTTTCACATAAATATACATAACAACCATTCAGATGATAGTAAAGCTTTTTTACGATATAACAAATAGATATTTTGAAATTAATAGTTTTTATTATTATGCACACTTTTTATAATTTTAAGCATGTTTCTTGTTGAAAAATCGTAAATTTTTAGAGTGAACTAAATTTTGAATGTGTTTGTTCTATTGCAAGTTAAATTATGTTATGAAATGAGTGATCTGATTATGATTTATCAGTGTAATTACCATAGCTTTTTAGGTATTCTAATGTAGTTAAAGCTTTTTGTATTAATAAGCTTTTTATATGAAATATGTAAAAATGTATTGTTTAATATAACTTTACTTTTAGGGTTCTAGCGAATGGCGTAGAAACAGTAACTGTACATGAAGATGGAGTTTTGAAATCAAGGACTGTAAATGGTGTCCCACAACCACTCAATGCTCTACGTTAAAATATCTTAAGCAATTTGTCAGTCTAAAGATAAACTCTGCTTTTATTTTCAGTCATTACATTGAGAAATCTTATAATTTGGTTGCTACAAATATATGTTGCCATTTCAAAAACAACCATTTATTGTATATATTTTGAGCTAATAATCTTGTAATATTTATGCTTCTTTTGAAGGCTGTAAAAATTTTTTCTGAAGATGCATATAAAATACCTATCTGTTAATAATGCTAAGCGTGTGAGTGAATGGCATTGTGCAGTGTACATTTATTTAACCCATTCTTTAATGATTTAAATGGCCATTTTTTTCCTTGTACTTAAGCATAAACAAACTTATTTTAGAGTGGAATGTATTTATTTCAGTAATTAAAAACATTTAAATGTGAATGATATGTATGATATATTTGATTTTAAGCAATACGGGGAACTCCGCTGTACTTAAAATAATTGAAAACAAGCTGTACTTTGTATGGCTTAAAATTTTAGAAAAGGAAATTATTCAGAATCGGAATTATTGTATAATTTGTATTTAATTATCTTTAAACTGGCTCATTTCAATTTTTTTAAAATTCCCGTGGTGAAATGTTACGTTATGCATGTGAAAGAACTTATTCCCCCTGTGAATTCATATTTATGCATTTAAGTTTAAAATGAAAACTAATACTGGAAACAGTTCTAGATTTTAATTGTTAATCATAATGCTTCAAATATTAATTTTCATTAATTTCTTTTTTATTAATAAGTTGTTACACGGAAGTTTTAAAATTTTCTTGTATTATGGAATAAATTATTTTAGTATGAGCATTAGGTGAATACATTTTGAAATTTTATTTTGGAAGAATTATTATTTTAATGTGAAGCATAACGTGAATATGATATTTCAAAATGTAATACTGAATTTTGCACATTTTTCATCTCATTAACCCTTTAGTGAAATGCACTCATTTGGTTCTGTATATACATGTTCTGTGTATTATATTCAGTTTGTTTTGTGCTTATTGTCACTGTTATCTTTTATTCCATGTAAAGAACCGAATTGGCAGACATCTGTTTTTCAATGTTGGATGTCTTTCGGTTTAAGCTGAAGTGAAAAATTAAATACTAATAATCTTAATTGAGTTAGTGTCATTCTCAGGTATACTTCAATTATACAATATCTACATAACACATTTATATGACTTGTTCAGCACTGGTGGTTTATGTAATTAAGATGCTTATTTGTAATTATTAAATTTTAATACCACTTAATTTGGTATTTTACTTCATTACACTATTCTTTTAACAAATTCTCAAAATATTTCCATTCCCCCAATTTTTTTTTTAAACTATGAAAGAAATTACAGATGACAGTACTTCCCTTCTGCTCATAGTTAAAAAACTAAAAAAAAATCCTTTTAAAGTTGCCAACTCACCCGATTTACAATATATTTCTCCCTACTTTTTCTTATTCTTAATATTTCTCACAATTTTTATGGAACTTGGCTTAATACTTCGTTATATAAACAAAAAAAAAAGTGATTTTGGACGTCTGAAAGCAACTGAATTTTCTCTAGGTTATATCTAAAACAAAACTTTGTGAATCAGATGAGAATTTCTGCTTTGTGAGTGACAGCATACGTATCCAGAAACGTCGTTGTCCAGTTCTCCAATGGGCAACGAGCTCCACTGCGTGTCATCTGGCATATATTAGCCAATGAGCACAAAGCAAGCTCAAGGCCGTTGGCCGTTATTTGGATGTTATTTCGTTCATCTTTTCCTGAGTTGTGTGAGTACACATGCCTTCGGAAAATAGTTTTAGAAATTATCATCTTTTGTTATGTCTGCGAGAAAGGTGAAATACTCGTGCACGTTTCCTTCCATTATTTCCTCAAGGAAATGTAATAAATTTGCGATGTGTACCATCTGTCGTTGCGATTTTTCGATTTCGCATGAAGGGCAGATGTTCTCAAACATGTGCGTACACAAAAACACAAGGACAACATGAGTTATTCTGAAGAAAAGGAAAAATTAAATTTTTCTTCGGAAACAAAAGACCAAAAAGTGATTAATGCAGAATGTCAGTTCTCTGCCTTTTTACTGGAGCACAACTTGCCACTGAATGCATCGGATCACGCTGCAGCTTTATTTAGAAAAATGTTTCCCGATAGTGAAATCGCTAAGAAATACTCAAGTGCAAGGACCAAAACAGGTGCAATTGTTAAAGAAATAGGTTTAAAAAATAAATCTTCAGTTATTGATTGCATTAAAACAGCTCCGTTCTGCCTCTCTACGGATGGAAGCAATAATACCAATTCAAAACTGTTTCTTTTCTTATTTGTTGTTTCTTTTTTTAATGCAGAGTCTTCAGAAATTGAGTGCAGTTTACTTTCTGTCCCCACTTTAGAAGGACATTCGACAGGCTTTAATATAGCATAGCTAATTATTAAAACTTACTAGCTAATTAATAGCTAATTATCAAACATAGAATTAAAATTATTGAAATAATCATTCATAATAAAATCATATTAAAAAATGCAAAATTAAATTGTATTTTAATATTTAACAGCCGTAAATAATGATTAGATTAGATTAAATTTATAGGTATTAAAACCAATTACTTTTAAAATAATGTGACATCATTCATTACATCATTCACAACATAAAATTCCATAAAATATCATAAACAATAAAATTTTTATTTAAAATAAAAATGCAAAATTAAATTCATTTTTATTATTTAGAAGTCATAAATAATATTTAAAACACGGAATTTATGCATAATAAAACACATTATTTTGTAAATAAAATGACATCAAAGTATCAGTTACCATAAATAACTTGTCTAGCAATGGGTTTACCATAAGTCGTATCGCTCGCTCCCCCCCCCCAAAAAAAATGGTTAAAATCCGTGCAACCGTCTACCAAAGTAGCACCATTTTATCATTTTAAAAGTCTTTTTAACATTGTGAAAAATCTCCTGATTTTTGAGTGTCATAGGTTGGCAAGTATGCTTTTAAAATGCCAGATACAATATGAAAACCATTTGTTAGTAATAATTACTAGATGTACTTTTATTAATGAATCTGAATTTATAAAATTTGATATCTGTTATGTAATGTATATCGTAGCACCACAACTAATAACTAGGTGTGCCCTCTAGCGGGGTGGATGTATCAATAGGATATGCTCGAGCTCCAGCAACTAGCAGAGTATAAAACTTTTGTCCAATGCAAACTGTGCATTGATAATAAATTCTTATTTTAAACTACAGTCCACTATTCCATAATCAAATCCTCCATAATATTTGGTCCTAGCGACCTGGAGTTTCTTACCAGTGCATTAAGTTAAACAGTTCAAATCATAGGAACAATGGCGACTGAATCAGCCATTACAATGCTGAATCGCAAACACAGGAATATAAAAGTACAGTTAAAGAAGATTACTATATGTGATTATAATAAAAATATCTCCAAGCTACGAGCTCAGTTGGTTGTGATTTCGAAACTTCAAGAAAAATTCGATGTTCTAAAGGAAGAATGTAACAAAATCGTCAGTGAAAAAGATTTTGAAGAAACTCAAAAAAACGCTGTCGCAGATAGATGAAGACTTGCGAAATTCAGAGGTAAGTCTAAAAACTTTGATTAATAAGCTTAAAATTAGTGAAAATAATTCTGCTTATCTAAATCAAAACACTGACAGTTCTACTTATTTGAATTCGAGCGATAACGATCAGTTGAAGCTAATATCAATAAAACTTCCAAAAATCTCTCTTCCTATTTTCACTGGAAAATTTGAGGAGTGGAACTTATTTAAAAGTCAGCTTGTTAGTCTAATTGACGAAAATTCAGAACTTTCTGAAAACAAAAAGCTTCGTTATCTACATGGGTCACTAAAAGGAGAAGCAAAAATTATAGAAACTTCAGATGATAGTTACAATTCCTTATTCAAGGCTCTAAAGCAAAGGTATGAAAACAAAAGAATTATTGTTTTCTGTCACATTAAAAACATTCTCAATCTTCAAGCAATCAAACATGAGTCAGCCAAAGAGCTTCGAAACTTGATGGATAATATAAATAAAAATCTTGGATGGCTGAAAATTTAAAATTTCGAAAGAGACAAATTTTTTAATGCCTTGTTATTAAATGTTGTTCTCGAAAAAATAGAGAAACAAGAAAACAGTTTGAATTCACATTAAAGGGCAAATGAAGTCCCAGATTTTGATAACTTTTTACAATTCTTAGAAAGAAGGTGTCAAGTTCTAAGTAGTTTTAACACCAACACTCCATGTAAACACATAACCTTTATCATCAATTCGAATGATTCATTTAAAATATGTGTAGCTCGTAAAACCCAAATTAATCATCCATTATCTCACTGTGATAAATTTAAAGAAATGAAATTAACAGGCAGATTAGATTTGGTTAAAATTAATAAACTCTGTTATAATTGCTTAAGTAAGCAACATTCTGTTTATGATTGTAAGTCTAAGAGAATTTGTATTGTTTGTAAAAAATCTAATCACCATCCACTGCTTCATAAGTATTTCCCCTCGTCAATAAATAAAAGTACCTCGATGTATTCAATTCAAGGTAGTGGAAACATTTAGTTTTCTAACGCTATAAATAACTCGAAGATGGTTTCCGCTCATGATGATGACTCGTCACATATGGTATCGCCAATCAATCAAAATAAAAATGTTACAGGCACCTCATTAATCACGGATGTGGATAAGTGTTGTCTACCATCAAAAGCAGCCTTTTATGCACTACGATGCTATTTATTGAGAATATATTTGGCTAAAAAATAAAAGTAAAAGCAATTTTAGATAGCGGAAGTTCTGTTTCTATATGCTTCACAAGAAGCGGCTCAGAATTTGGAGATTAAGAAAGAAAATTTTCATTCCTGTATTTCAGGAATTAACCGAGGAGAATATTTTATTAAAAATAAAGTAATAGCAAAAATTTCTAATGATGAAGATAACTTTTCAAAAACATTATCATTTCTTGTGCTACCTAAAATCGCAGAATTATCACCTGTGAAGAAAATCGACATTTCTAATATTTGTATACCTTGCGAATTAAAACTTAGCTGACGCTACATTTTACATTCCAAGTAAAATCAATTTACTTATAGGTTGTGAGGTATTTTTTGAATTACTTAAGCCCGAAAAATTCAGATCACACGACAATAATTTAATGTTTCAGAACAGTGTCTTTGGGTATTTGGTCACGGGGACTGTAAAAAATACAGTTTCTTACAATTTTACTGGTCTTACTCGTATTTCTGAAGAGGATTCTTTAGAACATTCTATCAAAAAATTCTTTGAACTTGAATCCTTTCAAGGAGATGATACAAATGACGATTCTCAAATATTTGAAAGAGAATATTGTGAGCAACATTTTATGGCCACTCACAAGCGCAATGACACTGGAAGATTTATTGTTAGATTACCCATTAAGGAAGGCAAACGTTCTAGTTTAGGAGAATCTAAATCAATGGCGGAAAGACGTCTAAATTCGCTCTGGAACAAATTGGACAAAAATCAAATTATGTCCGTTTTATATACGGCATTCATGGATGAATATTTTGCGTTAAATCATATGGAAAAGGTTACTTCAGATTGTGAGAACTGTAGTGAAAATTATTACATCCCACATCATGCAGTATTCCTACCAGAAGGCCCTACTATCCCTCTTCACGTCGTGTTTGATGCATCAGCTAAGTGCGCAAATGGAGTAAGTCTCAATTCCTTATTACTCAATGGTGTAACTGTGCAACAAGATCTATTCTCAATAGTAACTCGTTTTTGAACACATACATATGTATTTAGCACAGACATTACTAAAATGTACAGGCAAATTCTTGTCGAAGAAACTGATACAGAACTCCAGAGGATTCTGTAAAAACCAAGTTCGTGCTCACCTGTTGAAACTTACAGACTGAGGACAATTACATATAGTACAACATGTGCCCCGTATTTGGCCACTAGAACTTTAAAATCTTTAGCTGAGGAGAAGCAAGGGTGTTTTCCCCGTTGCTTCCGCAGTTTTACTTACCGATGTCTACGTGGATGATATTTTATCAGGTTCAGAAAATTTAAAAGACACAATTTCTTTGCAATTTGAATTAATAAAGTTATTGAACAAGAGTGGCATGCAATTACATAAATGGGTTTCAAACCATCCAGACTTGTTAAACAACAACAAGGCTACTGAATATAACTTTTCTTCAGATTCCCATCTTGTGAAAACTCTCGCTGTGCTTTGGGCATGTAATTCCGATAATTTAACCTTTAAGATTAATATAGAATAGGGCGTGTTAAATATTATATAGTTCCTTTTAAACTGTGGTTTTTTTAAAGTATTTTAATTGAATTGAAAAAATAGTTCTGAAATTAAAAAAAAATAATAAAAGAAACACTAAATGTAATAAACTGGTACACATTGATAGTCTTGGTAAATTTAACCACTTTTATTCCCTTTCTTTTTATAGAATCTTAAGTGACTTTCTTTACTAAAGAAAGCCACTTAAGTTGAATAATAAATACGTTTACTGATTTTACAACAGTCCAATAATTTTATTAGAAATCTATTTCAGAAAAGGCACATTGCTTGAACCAAAATCAAAATCGGAATAAGTTGAATGAATGTCCTCCACAGAGTAGTTTCTAGTTTAAAATGCTTTGTTTTGCATGCAAGTTCAGTTTTCAGATTCGTTTGTTAAAAAAAAAAAAAAAAAAAAAAATATGTAATAAGAAATTGACCATTAATTCTAAATGTTTTGGATATAATTTATTCTAAAAAGGTATTTTTAGGTTATTTAAAATTTAATTTTCCCTCAACAGTACCATAAATATTGTATAATGTGAGCCATGATCATATAACATATGATATACAGTACAAAGTCTGATCGGGACTCCGGATTTCAGATTTTTCCGGATATTGGATCATCAGTTTAACGCTTGTAAGATGGCATGCAGAAATTATAAAATCAGAAATATGAAATAGTGATTTATGAAATAATGAAGCATTAGTATGTAAGTTGTTTAAGTTGCTTTTTTTTGTGCTAGTATTATCTCTTTAATTCTGTAAATAGACATAATTTCTTATTCAGTTACAAAGTTCCATTGCTCAAGTATGTAATTGCTGTGTCGAGAATCCCGGCTAACTTGTCAATTGAAATTCTTTCATTTCTAAATACCTGTTTGTCACTTTCTTCACTATGGGTTGCGCTATTTTCTGGATCTAGAATCATACTACAGATATCTCCATCCGTTAATTGATTGATGATTGGGACCATGTGATCGCAATGAAAAACTTCTGGTATATCATCTTCATTTATTACTGCTTCTCCACATTTCTTTAAAAATTCCATTAAATAGAAAATTTAACTTTTGGTTTGCAATATCCAAAACCTTCACATTCATGGCTATCATATTCATCAACCTCATCACGAAATATGCTAGCTGCCATAAATTATGCCAAGCATTTTTTAAAGTATCTGGAGACACATCCTCCCACAAAGCAGATTTTATGATAAAATATTTCAAAAATTCTTAAATAGTCTTGCCATTATTCAAGAAATTTAACATGGATTTTAAATATTCTACTTTATATTTCCATTTCAGGGCACGCACTATTCCGATATCCATAGGCTGAATGATTGACGTACAATTTGGAGGAAAGAATTATACAGATACATTATCTTTCACCAAAACTTTAAGTGAATTATGAGCCAAACAGTTGTCTACAATCAGGACAATTTTTGCATCATCAGGTAAACGAACTGAATTCAAATGCGTTACCGAGCCTCGTGTATGAAATGATTTTAAACCAATCATTCATTAATTGCTTATGTCATTCTTTCTCTTTTATTTTCATAATATATAATGGAAATTCTTTGCTCCTTGAAATGTTTGAGCTCATGTATTTTTTAGATTAAAAAAAGTTTTTACACTGCAGCATTTGCACATGCTAAAATTGTTAGTTTCGCTTTGGAATCTTTGACACTAGTTGGAGCCTTTTCTGTAGAGGTTGTCAAGGTATTTTGTGGTACATATTGCTACAAAAGACCAGTTTCATCAGCATTGTAAATTTGTTCTGGAGATAACTTTTCACTATTAATGAGTCCAATGAATTCATCTGCAAATAGTTGCACAGTTCCAGATTAAGCTGAAGCTGATGGTTTTTTTTAATTTATTATTATTATTATTATTATTTTATTATTACGAAAAGTTTACGCTTGTGCATTCCTGCAGCATTTGCACATGCTAAAATTGTTAGTTTCGCTTTGGAGTTTTTGGCACCAGTTAGAGCCTTTTCCGTAGAAGTTGCCAAGTTATTACATGGTACATATTGTTACAAAAGACCAGTTTCATCAGCATTGTAAATTTGTTCTGGAGATAACTTTTCACTATCAATGAGTTCAATGAATTCATCTGCAAATAGTTACATAGCACCAGAATAAGCTGAAGCTTTATCACTTTAAATTTTTAATTGCTTTATACCATGCCGATTTTTTAATTTTATTAACTAACCTGTCAAATACGTGAACTCAGTTTTTAAGTTAATTTCTTCATGAAATATTTTGGCTTGAGTCATTAGCACTCTATCCATCAGTGGCATGCCTTCTCTGCAATGCTGTCTGACCCATTGAATCATTATTTTGTCGCGATCGTCACTTCTAGCATAACGAATAATTTTTTAGTTATTCATTGTGTGTGCGGTGTCAAAATCACAAAATATTTAAAAAATTCCTTTTTCTGTTTACTTATGTTACAAAATCACAAAAAAATTTAAAAATTCCTTTTTTTGTATACAATTGACTTCCAATGCCATTATAGTTTTGAGACAATTATGTCTTTATCCATCTTTTGTAGCAATTCCACTTTTGTTTAATGCACAACGAATCATATTTTCACTTTGTAAATCTTTTTGCAGTTGCAGAATTAGAAACGCTTTTTGACATAATCGAAAGTTCAAACTTTAATTTTCATAAAATTTCTGCAATAATAAAAGCCTGAAAAAAAATAATAAACTGGATTAAAACAGAAAGTTAAGGAACAGGGCAATCTGCTATATTAACTGAAGTTCCGAATGCGCATGCGTAAAGCATTTAAAAAAAAAAATTGTGGCTGTTTTGAGGTCCGGATTTTAGATCATTTCGGTTATTGGACGCCCGAATCTTGGAATTTCTACTGTAATTATATAATGCCAGCTAATGATATTAGTGCAGTTAACTTGGTACTAATAGTATATTTTCCTTTTCAGTTTTTACTATTAGTTTTCCTTTTCAGTTAGTTTTTACTAGTTATACTATTGCCCCGGTCTTTAAGTACTGATTTTAAAATGTGTAGCTAAATCTTTATTAAATTCATGCGTATCATGGACACACTTTATAAACTTATAGAGTATAGTAAAATGCATAAAAATGTGTATTTAGTTTTAAAAATAGCATAATTAAACACTCTGGATGTGGACAGTAAGGAATTATAAAATAATCCCAACTCATATAAATGTAGGAATAGTTGTTTTGACTACTTGGTTAAATGATGAAAAAATGTGTGTGCTTAATCATGTTGCATTATTTCATCTACACTCATATCCATAAATTAAGGATAATGCCAAATCAGGCAAAGGAAGAGTTAGAAGCAAAACAAATTTGACTTATTTGTAAAGCTTATTTATTAAACAAAAGGTAAAGAACAAAAAAAGATGCTATATGTTTGATATTATTAAAAAAATTTGCGATTTTTCCTCCCTGGAGCAAATTACAAAAAAAACCTATTTATAAAAAAACAATATTAGATGGTTGGTATGATTGTTAATACATTGTATGTCTCCCGACGATGCAATACAGTCCGTACAACGCCTGCATGCTGAGTATCAATTATCGATCTGATCTTGGGGATATTACACCACTCAAAAGCAATGCTCTCCGAAGTTCCGGTAGACATGTAGGAGGAGGTTGACGGGCTGCAACTCTCGGCCAAGCATGGCCCACCAGCTCTACTGGATTCAAGTCCGGTGAGAATGCTGGGCAGTCCATACGGGTGATATCCTCCGATTGAAGGCATTCGCTTACGATGTTTGCACGGTGAGGACGAACGTTGTCATCCATAAACACAAATTGTACGCCCATGGCGCCCCGAAACAAACGTACATGTTGTTTCCAGATGACGTCCCGATAGATTTGGCTTGTCATGGTTTCCAATTTGAACATGCAGGTCAGTTCTGGAACCCAGAATAATTCCACCCCAAACGAGCACTCCTGCACCACCGTAACGATGTCGTTCAAGGATGGTTTCTTGATGGTAACGGGTACCTGGAGCTCTCCATATGAAAGTCCGGCGAGAATCAGACTGCGAGCTAAACCTGGACTCGTCGGAAAACATCACACAAGCCCACTGTTGCGGTGTCCACAATGCATGCTCTCTACTCCAGGCTAACTGTGACTAACGCAGGCTACTGTGAGTTGCAGTAAGTCGAACGCATCTGACAGGTCTACGAGCATATAGACCAATCTGTCCTAAGCGTCTGTACACGGTCTGCCTTGAAATTGTCGTACCAGTGGCTGAAGAGAGCTGACGAGACAGGTCTGAGGCTGTGCTCCGCCTGTTTCTTTTGGCAGTAACTGCCAAATACCGGTCTTCATTCGGCGTTGTAACTCTGGGGCGACCTGTGCTGTAACGTATACTCACATTACGATCATCTTGGAATCGTTCCCAAAGCCTGGAGATAACACTCTGGGCAATTCTAAATTCGTCTGATACTTCCAGTTGTGCCCGCCCACATTCCAGACGGCCGATAAT